AATACGCCGACTCTGTAAACCACAGAGAGGGCTGTAAAGCACTATGAAGCGATATATAAGTCTAAGTGCTATTGCTATTATAGAGTTATAAATTAAGATGTTTTGGTTATCTATTTTCTGTGTTAATATAAATGGCAAGCCCAAATAAAACTTTTTGTATGTTTTATAACATTACAGATAAGCAGAAGCTGTAAAAATATCTGTCAGGTTTACTTTAATCTGGATTTCACATTGAGGAAAAGACAGGATTCAATGTCCCCCTTCAGTTTTGTGACTTTATATGAATAATATATCATTCAGCAATGGTATAATTCATACAATTCAGCATAAAATATCTTAAATAAAACTTCAGGTTCCACATGTAAGTTCAAAATAAGGAAATGTTCTTGTCATTTCAATACATTAAAAGCATAAACATCCTTATAATCGATACCAATAAAAAGGGAGAAGCCCTAAGAGCTTAAAAAAATGGAGTTTCTGATAATGTTTGGTTACAATGTTCACATCCCTTGTATCTCTTCCAAGGACCATGAAGTAAAACCCTTAGCTAAATTTGAATGGGCTTTTCATGCCTTTTTCATTTATTCTGCTTTAACAAACTATATTGCCTCTTTCTCCTTCTCATCCCTTCCTTTTAATTCCTTATTATTGAAACAGTTAATAAGCTTTAAATTACTTTTTACTAGACCAATGAGATTTCAAAGCCCATATTGCTGATTTCTGGTCACCTTGTAGTCAAAATAATTTTCAGAATGGATAACTATATATATGTACGCATTAGGACTTTCATAATGGTAGGCAGATATTTTCAAGGCATTTTGTAATATAACTCTGATAAAATTAATCATAATTGTGGAGCTGATAGAAATTGCTACCTCCAGTGCAATCCTATGTGCATTCTTTTTTAAATAAATCCCAGAGAAATATGCAAAGGATTACAGCCTGAGGATCTGAAAAAAGATTCATCATGGGACATCATGAGTTTTTTTGAAATCAAAACTCAGTTATGAAATTAGCAAGTAGCGCCATGGAGGTGATTCAGAACATACAGAAGTAAATACAAAACAATTTTCAAATCTTTAAAGCTGACATGTCTTTTTCCAGCTTGCTGGCTTTTTCAGAAACTGCTCCCAGCTGTCTCTGTATGCATGTGCTCACACAGTCACAGAGACAGCCAAGTCAAACACCCAGGATGCAGAAGACTTTTCAACACTAAATAGAATTTAGCAAACCCTATGAAGACGAATCCAGAATAAATCTGTAGGTATTTTGCAGACTAGGCCAAAAAACACTGGAAAATAATATGCTGAAGCTAGTACAGTAATATTCCTAATTGCATGTTTGCTCTGCTAGCTGTTATTCTTTCTTAAAATTGTAACTTTAAACTGACAATCTAAAATTCACATATGGGATACTCCCATGGTTTCCATCAATTACAGTTTAATGCTAAATATTTACAGTATAAGGTAAGCCAGATCTTTATTAAATCATATTTATGAATGAGCAAAAACTTAATTAATATGTGAATTAAACATACTAATGTAAATGGATGGAATATTTATAAGCAACCATATAAAAATTGTGTATCATCCTCCAATCCTGAGGAAACTGTGTGTAATTATATGAATACATGCTTAAAATCATATCTTTATATACTACATTTAAATTTAATTTTTGTATACTATGATAAAGTCATCTATTACCAGTTTAATTCCAATTAAATCAATAATTTTATTACATTTAAGAAATGGACACAAAATATAATTTCCAGATATTATTCAAAAGCTACTAAATCTCTATAAAAGGCTGAAGTAAAAAATATTAGATGAGTAATTAAGCAGTGTTACTGAATTGCCAGTGAAATAGCAATGGCATAATAATGAAGATACAGTATCATTTTCTTACATTCTAGTTTATAAAATTCAACATAATTATTAATAATCTTGGTTATTGTATTATACATACTTCATAAAATTTAAACTTTGATTGAAGTGCTCTAAATATATTACAACACATAAATGTTAAGTAATACGGTTATTTAATACATTTGGAACAACTCCTTTTGACGTGAATGTGACTAATAAATGCAATTAGATTAGGACTGCAGCCTTTAAAGTTTTCTAACTATAGTTTTCAACCATAATCAAGATATCTTGCTGATACTTTATCTTCCACTTTTAAAGTGTTCTGCATTAAGTATTAACATACTTTTAACATCTCTTCTCTGCTGTAGTTTTCCATATTATCTTCTACATCCTGTTCTATATTTCTTTATCCAGAGTCACCCACTTTTTAAGTCTAAATAATAATGAAGCACAAACTAATCTTACATAAATGAATATTAAATAACTATTGTGCAGTTACTTAACACCAAAATTGTTATGTATTTTCAATATTGTTCCTCAGAAAGTCAGGCAAATTACAAAAATTGAACTTTTGTCACTTACAGTTCCACATCAAAAACAGTAAGTATTTTTGAATGTGTTATTTTCCATAAAAATATCTACATATAAAGTAAATATATAATCAAAAGTAGATTATGAAAATAATTACATTGGTTAAAAATAAATTGTCAGTTCTGCTTTCCCTCCAACTCTGCCATAATACTTACAAATCCTAAATAATGGAGAATTATATCTGTTAAACTTTATAATTTTTAATGATCAAGCTATGCTGAATGTAAGTCCTGAAATAATTCAAAACTGCATAGAAAATTTATATGGCTATACTTAACATTTCAAAAGTAAATTCTAAGATTTGCACTAATTCTAACATTTATTTTAATACATCAATTGATAAAAATATGTTTAAAGATCTGTCCACAGAGTGTATGTATGTATGTATTATGAATCCTAGACACAAAGGGTAACATACCACAAAGTTAATTCTAAACTAACTCTAAACATATTGTTACCTAAATATATTGTCCAAAATATTGCTTTATATGAACATCTCTATGCACTTTGTATATATATTACAGCATTTACAAAAGTTTTATATTCTTATTACTGAGGAGAATATGTGTCTTATGATTTATGATTTTATGATTATGATTTATCACTTGTTGCTTGTATGTACAGTGAGAGCTTATACACCGAAGACAAATTCCTTGTGTGTCCAATCACACTTGGCCAATAAAGAATTATATTCTATTCTATAAATGAAATGGCTGCTGCAGACAACGAGAAAGGGCCATTTCATAGGTTTTTGTGGAGAGTCCAGTTGTGTTTGGTACTGTCTTTCAACTAACAATCAGCAACAGTCATTCTATTCGGGTACCTCAGAGGGAAAGATGGAAAGCAGATTTACTTCCATCTGCTCTACTAAATGAGACCATCATATCAGACACCACCTGTCCCCGAAATGTTTCTGTTCAAGCCTGTCATGAAAACATTGTAATGCCCAAATAAGTACCCAAGTTTTCCTCTTTTTCTTTTCATTGTTTGTTCTTACTTATATGCAAACTACCTTGGAAGTTTTGTGGCAGAAATGTTGTAAGAGTGAACAAAAGTTATGCCAAGCCTATGCTATTATGTTACTATTATGTTTTTTTTCATCCTGTATGTATGATCTACATGTCTGGCACCAAAAAACATGGGAAAAGAAAATAATTTAGAAACTGCAGAAAAACATGAATTACTCTTAACAACTACGTTAATATTTTATTTTTCAGCAGTATCCATCCTTAGTGCCTGATTAGTGTAATAATTCTAAAAAAAAAGTTTTGTGTTTTCCACATGCTTTGGCACTTGGAAAAGTATATACAAACATATTAAATAAAATAATAAAAGTTCTTTCACCATGCTGGAACAACACATTAACTTCTCAAAGTATAACAGAGATTACAGTCAACATATGTGGTTATTAACATATTGATATAACTGGTATCAAATTCAATGCTTCAATTATACCCTTCTGTACAGTGTCTATGTATATGTATGCTTATGTGTAGGCATGTATGAAGTGGGCAGTATATTAAAAATAATATAAACACATACATATAAGTTTTAATGACAACTATGCTGCAATTTCTTCAAGCAAGAAATGTTCTCAAAGATTACAAAAGAGTTCAGGGATATTATCTAAGAAACTGTTAAGTTTGTCATCCTAAAACACACTACATTACACCATGCTACACTTATTACACACTAGATCTAGAGAGTTTAGTGATATTGAATAAACCTGTTAAAAATTGCACTAATTCTTTAGCTGCTCTGAATATTTTTAAATGAAATATATAACATAATAGTTTTTTCAGATATTTTCATATAAGGATATTAGAAAAAACACGGTATGTTCTCTAATTTCAAATAGATTTTTGTAAAAATCCTATAATATCATAAAGACCTTCTTTGAATCATATCAAATATATACAGTACGTTTTAATACCTGGAGGTCATACAATAACTATTCTCATCTGACTTCAGCTCCTGTACTCTTAACTATTATGCACTAAGAAGGAAATAAATAACCACTCTTGTGATCATGCCAATATTATCTAGCTACCAATTGTTTGACATTTCAGTTTTATAAAGGCCTGTTTTATTACTGTATGGATGATGAGCAAAAATAAACTTAGGTCCTTTGTTTTCACAGCCAAATAAACAGTAGTTTAGAATATATCTAACTTCGACCTTCATTATTTTCACATAATATACATATCATAGTGATTTCATTATTCCCCCTCACACATACACATACACCTCAACTCAAACAGTATTTTCCATCATTTTTTGGTATTAGGTGTTAAAAAGTCATGTTTACATAGGCTGACAGGACCAAGGCCAGTTAAAACTCCTCACTCCTTGAAATCAGAGTTTCCCAATATAAAATTATGGTTACTGATGAATTAAAAACTACAAAATAGATGCATACCTAAAGTCTTTAACAACAGCAATACCAATTAATATAAATCATTAGCATAAATATAAGTCACACGAAAACATGAACAAATTGTGGAGAAATATGCAATTGTTAAAAAAGTATATGGTTAAACTTACCCCATTCTAGAAACTCCAAAATATTCTTCTCTCTTCTCAAGGGTGAATTATTACATTCATCATAAAGGCAGATGAGTATATCCAACAAGGTTTCCACACTAAAGCATTGCCCATTGGTCTGAGTTGGCCCATCCAAAATAAACTGTTCCAACTGTCTCAAGCGCACCTCTCCAGACATGGCTGCTTCAGTTTTTAACAGACTTTCCTTCTTTATTATTCTGTGCTATCTTTGACAAATCTAGCACATTAGAATATATTACAGTTTATAATTTTTTTTTTGAAAAGTCAGTGTTTTAAAGATGGTACTGAAGGTATAATCCATCTCAGAACTGCCATTCTGAGAACTGTAACTTTGTCAGTTTTTCCACACATACATCTACAATATATACAGAGTATTACAGAAAAATAATTACCCTAAAATCTCCTTTAATAACATTTAAAAGAGAAAATATATATTTTATACATTTAAATAATAATAATTAAAATTTAATCCCAAGACTGAATCCACTCTTCTGTCATCCATATAGATTTTTAAAGGTCTTCTCCTTCATTCGAAATTCAGATCATGAAACCCAATCCCGAAATGAATCCTTCTGCATCATTAAAGTGTAAAGTCCCCATTCCATTTGCATCAACAATTCACTTTCAAGGAAAGAGCAGCAGGAAGAAAGCTATTTGAAGGTGGGAGGGCAAAAAATAAAAAGCACAGGATTCTGAAGATCTAGTGCTGGAGAATATCCACCACCTCCACCACCTTCTTCTCCACCTTCTCCACCACCTCCACCTCCACCTCCACCACCTCTTAGAAAATGCATTAGTGGCAACTCTTCAGAAAGTGGGGAGTGTGAAGAAGAGAGGAAGAGGAAGAAAAGTCCTCAGAAACAGAATCCTTCCTTAGGGCAATCTGTGCCACTCTTCCATTAAGGCTCTTCACCATTCCAAAAAACAACGTATAATCCGAATTTCCTTAACCTCCCTCCCCAATATACTGGGGAGGGGGAGCATGTGGAGGGGGAAAGTCACACCCCTCTTTAAATATCGGGAAAATAATAATTGTCCTCTCTTAAATACGGTATCAGCACATCTAGTCTAGGGAACAAGAGAAGGCTGGGCTGGTAATAATCCTAGCAAATCCTCTCCATATCGCTGCACGTCCTCTAGCTCCTTGTTTCTCTTGACAGGGCAACAGGATATTGCCATTTTCAATCTACACACATCTCCCACTCCGCTTGCGCGCTTCCTCCAAAAGATGCTGTGGTGCTGCTGTTTTCTAGTGCAAGAAATGAAAAGATGCTGCCCGTCTTTCGGTCCACCATGCTTAGGGCATCTTCTTCGAGTAGCGAACAGTGATAGCCTGTACTCCCCCCGACTCCTTCCTCCGTTTCCTCTTCCTCGTCGAGGTTGTTTTCCTCTCCTCTTCTTTCACCGTCCGCCCTCCTTGACTCCACACAGCCTCATGCATAAGCTCCGGCTGCTGCCACTGAAGTCACCGGATCCAACATGGCGGCCTCTTCACCCTCCCTCCTAAAGCTCTGGAGCGAGCGAAGCTGCAGAGAGGCAAACGAGGCTGCAAGCTGTTGGGAATGAGAGGGAAGGAGCGGAGAATGCTGGAGAGATGCTTATACGGCAGCACGGAATGCAGGGATACAGGCGGACCTGAGGGGAGGGAACAGCAACCGCACGGAAACGCCCTGCGGGCTACTGCAGGACCAGGTTGCTAAGCTAAGTTTGAGGCTCTTCTGCCTGCGTCAAGGGCTCTCGCCCAACCCGCAAAAAACATACCTGTACTCTGCAACCCCATCTCGCCCTTGAGACTTTTAAAACTCTGTGGCTACTTTGCATTTGATCCAGCCGACCTCTTAAAAGCACTTCTCCCACAATTTCTTAACAGTTGTGGTTTGTTCCCTCCCCACCCACTCCCCGTCTATTCTGCGTTTTTAAAGGGAAAGTATTTGACGACGGAAAACTGGAAAGAACGCCCATTTTGCTTCCAAAACTCTAAAGCTGCCTGTGATACCTATTGATCGATTGACCCTTAGATAGGTAATAACAGAAAAGAAACATATGATGTTATCAACCCTTTGCACCCCGTTTTAGGGGCATGGTTGTTGAAAATGTAGGATTGGTACAGTTGGTGACTAACCCTACCTCCTAGTTTTAACATTCCCAGGCTACCCACCTTTTGCTGATGTTCTCTCCAGCATTTTCCATTTTTCCACTTTTCATTTAAGTTATCTTTTAAAATATCAATGTGTTTAGATAGTGAAAGTTAGGATTAAGGGGTCCAAGTCATGAAACTCGGTAACTTTGGATCAGTGATTCCTAACTTAGGATCACTACTTCCTCATTACCTTCCTCACCACACAAGTTTGCAATGACAATAAAAACAGAGGCAATACAATTTACATACGGATACAGGTGCAATATCAACCTAACAAATAACTACAAATTCTGACTGAATAATTCCCCCCCTCTTTTTTGGCTTCTCTCAGTAGTCTGTGTTCCTGAACTGTCTTACAATCACGTTTTGTGCCAGATATTCACATGTTCCATAATGCAAAAAATTGTTAAATCCATATATGTAAAGAGTGTTATATATATTATTTCAATTTTCAAAAAAGATTGTTGGTTATATAGTGTGTTATGTAATATGTCATGCAGAGTTCTGTACTCAAAACAAAGCTTATGGTATAAAATAACCAACTATCATTGGTAAGTGAAATCAAAGATCTTTGTCATTTAAATCAGTATTCAATAATTTTCTGTTAAATACTTTCTTTTAACAAGTTTTTTCCTCCAGAAAAATAGCAACAACAGCAATATAACCAAGAGCCCTAAACTATTCACACTATGACTTCTGGGACCACAAAAACATCTTTTTTAAATATGGCTACTGGTACGTCCCCCTCTTCTTCAAGAGCCAGTCAGGAGACAGACTAATGTGACATCTTTCCCAAAGATTACATTTGGGAACTGTCCTCCCACTTTTTCTTCTTACTGCAGATCACTGATCCTGCTCCATTCTCAAACATTAGCATTATTTTTTGCTGTTCTGGGTATGATGAAAATGGCATGAAAGCGGGAAGTATTTTAAAAAATCAGGAGCTGTGTACTGTATCCCGACATAGTGGTAATTCATATGTATTCCATAATATCCTTCCATTTTTCAACATGCTAAAAAAATTACAAGCTAACCAATATGAATAGAATAGTATGGAAGATTAATTCTCCAATTGAGTTTAATTTTAGATTAGGGCTACAGTTTAAGGCTGTTTTTCCTTGTTTTTAATGCTGTCTATATTGTTATGATAAAGCAAACAACTTAAAATGTGAACTGATTTGGAGATTTGATGAAAGTATTGCTTAAAAGATGAATTTTAAATGGAGAAAGTGCAAAGCCAATCTAAATGCCTCTTCCTAGGGCACAATAATGATACCCATAGAAAATATTTGCAGCTCAGGGTTGAATTATGGTGTTCTTTGAGCTTGGTTGTTTTCTTGCAAACATTTCATTACCCAACTAGGTAACATCTTTAATGCTATTAAGAAAGTGAGGTTTGCTTTATCTTTGTATAGCAGTCAAATGATGTGATGAAGATTCTTTAATTGCATGACGTATGGACATACTTGACCATAGTTAAATAGTTTAGAAGCAGCTTTGGACCAGTGCAATATGAAGGAATCAGTTCTTTTCATAAAATTAACTTCATTTTTCTGGTTCCATTCTCATTTGTCAAAAACTAGAATAATATTTTTCATTTAAGTGCTGTAAAAGAAGTTTGTAAACACTGATAGAAACCCTTGCCTTGTCTTGCCTTCTAACTTCTGAATTTATTCAATGGTTTTCCAGGGTAAAAAAATGGTTTGCTGGTTTTGTAGCTATCCCTCAGAATTTGTTTCATATATAATCAGATAGGTTCACACAATGTAAATCAAAATCATTGGATAAGGAAGCATACTAGCATGCTTTTCTTCCATGTTTGGGTGGACTAAAAGTGTGGGGATTTTTGTTCTCTTTGTTTTTCCATGACAAACGGTAAATTGGACAGAATTCAGATAGAATTGCTTTTCTTTATGAAATGAACCTTCATTTTGGAAGATTTGAAGACTGATGAATTGGCTTTAACAATATTTTTCAGGGGCTTTGAAGCAGAAATTGTGGCCATTGAGAAGTGTAGACATTTGGTTTTCTTTTAATGCCCTATTCCCATGATGGCGAACCTATGGCACACATGCTGGAACTGGCACACAGAGCCATTTTTCCGGACATGCCAGCCGTCACCCCTTGCTCTTCTGGGTTCCGACCCATTTGGAAAAGAAATCTGTAAGTATTGAAAGAAAACTGGTACAGAAAATATGTAGCGATCCGGGTCTTATTGGATTCATATCTATCCATGTTCAGTGGGCTCTCAATAGACCTCAACAGATGCCAGTAGGTTGCTTTTCTGGTGCCTCTTAGTAGGCAGACTACCACATAGGTATAGGCAGGAATCTTTCCTTTTCTCAGTCCCTAAAACCTAAAGCAGCTGCTCTTCATCCAAGAGTCCATAAACCTCTTCTTTGGGAATCCATTCTGAACCTCCAGAGAAAACGAGCCCTTCTTGCAAGCAAGCCCTTTATGTTGATTTGTTCATCTCTATATTGCCACTGCTTGTTTTTCTGTTAAGTTCTGTGATGCATCTTGGTGTTGTTTTCCTGCACGCATTTCCTATGACAGATCTGAAATTTTCTTCCCGATAGGCTGGAAGGTTAATAGGAATGCCTCTAGCTCCTTCCCTTCTCTTTCATGAGGGCAATCAGCATGCAGCATGTGTAGTTGTCATCATCTTCAGTGAGGAAAACAAACATGGCTTATCCCCAGAAAGACAGGAGAGTAGTTCTCTCTGTTTCATGTTCCTCCGATGAACAGAAAAAGAAGTAAAACCTTTTCCACCAAATTCTTATTTGCTCTCCCTCTTTACTCACTCAGTGACCTTGTTTGAACTCAGTCATTTACAGATAATTTGGTAAATCATGGTTAAACAAACCATTGCTTGCTGAGACATATAAGCCCAATCCCTACATCTGAGCCTCAGTTCCTTAATCCATAAAAATTTGACATTTGCTACAATCTTGCTATGTGTTAGAAATTGCTAAAAAATAAAAAAAGCAGTAAGTTTGAAAAATGCTCCATATAAATTAATTCTTTTAAAAAACTACAAAAGGACAAAAAAGAGCAGATATTGAATTTTTCTTCTTCTCATGATTAAACTGTGCTGGAAAAAACTACTTGCTGGTGGAAAAGAAAATCATAATAAAATAGGTGTTCAGAAAAATCAGATCTAGTATTTTATACCAGTGGGCCTCAACCCCTGCACTGTGGCCCACTACCAGACTGTGGAGTATTTGGAATTGGGCCACACAAGTGGCTGGCTGGAACACGTGCATGCACAACTCCTTGCATGAGCAGTGGGCTGGTAGGCCCTTGCGGGCATGCGCACTGGCTTGCTGTTCGCACAAAGGCTGCATGTGCATGTGCACAAGTGTGCGTGCTGGCCCACTGCTCGTGCAGCCCAGTTCCCCTCTCCCTTCTCAACCGGGCCACCAAGCCACAAAAGATCGCTGCTTTATACAGTTTCCCTTTAAAATACTATGTTTTTAAAAATAGCTCTTATATTTTATTGAGAAGTATTCACATTCAATTTATAGATAATATAAAGATTATTTCTAGATCAAAAGATTAGGCTGACTTGAATCTCTGTTAAGAATAGCATACTTGTATATAAGATGCTCAGTCACAGCTGCACCTCTAATGTAGTTATCTGTCAATCTATCCATTATATGTGTATCTGATATATGTAAATGAATTTGTACTCATATTACAGCTATTTGTGGAAATATACAGAGGTAATATGGCAATATATGCATACTTAGGCATGATATAAGCACATTTTAATGCAGAGATTTAAATATAGTTAAAGTGATAGGCAGAAAAAATGTGTGCCATCTGCTTTCAATAAAAATAGCCTATTTTATATCTATGATGATTAAACGGGAGGACCTCTGGATTCTTTTATTCCATTCCTTCTTCTGCCAGGGAACTAGTTTCCTCTTTGGGAACGCAAGTTTCTTTCTCTGATTGCATTTAATCATGGAAAAGTTAAAAAGGGAGTGCTGAACATGAAAACCATACAGCAGATAATCTATCAGACAATGCTTTTGCAAAGCAATATAATACCTTTAAGTATTTTGTATTGTTCCTACTGTAATAAAGGAATAATGTCCTCCTATAAGCATAAGCCAACACTCTGTCTATCTGTCTGCGCTCTTAACATGTGTTGATATTTTCATTTCAGTGCAAGTGGTGGAATTGTCATAGCTAGTTACAAAACCATCTTTCTTACCGAACAGGGTAGAAACTTAATTCTGCCTGCATAATGTGTGATTGGTGTATTTGTCAGAAATGACAAGATAGAAAGTGCAAATGACTCCAAATTCATTTCTTCACATGCAATAAGGGCATGATATCTAAAGTGGAAGAGAGAGATGTGTTTTCATAATGGAAGAATATTTATCTCTTCATTTTAAATATGATTTGGAGCATGAAGAAATGG